TATATCGCCAAAATTTCAAAGCCATTTATTTCAATTTTTCAAAACATTTTGCTGTTAGGTGTTTAAATCTTCCAGTGACTGGTCACTCATTTGAGGACACTCTGCTTATGGCAGCAGCTGTCAAACACGGCCTTCCACCTGAAGCGGGCATCATTGAGTTCAAGGTTACTGCAGGCAAACTAGGGTATGAAAGATAGTTCTGTTAATTATAATTATTGATTCATGATTAGGCACCGCACATGACCTACATGTAGACAGGTCTAGACAAGAAGAGAGCCATGGCTTGCCCTGTACAATCTCCTCCTACTGCGGTCTACAATATTTGGCACGGCATTGTTGGGTGGACACACAGGTGCAGGCTAATTATTGCACAAACTTCTGCACCGTGTGTCCAGGCTTTAAACCGTAGCATCAAGAGGTGGATAGAAATGTTGATTGCCTTTTCACTAAGTCGATCAGCAAAGGGTAATATTTGAAGATGACACATGCCGTGTTGTCTAAACATTATTTATGTCAAAACTATGAAACAGGCTATATTATACATCTTTGTGCTGATAGATCGGCATGACAAGTTCTGCACCTCAAGAACTTTGTCTCTTATTCCTCTTTAGAATAAACTTGGACTGTGTAAAGGAACATCTGAAGAGGTTTGTGGCCCTGGATTCAGATAAGGATGGTCGCATTTCACTGAAGGATTTTGCAATGCATTACAAGTTACCTCTGTCATCACCTGTCAAAGAGCTATTTTCAATCTTTGACAGGGTAAGACTTTAATTAATGCACTACAGTTACATTTTTTGATTAGTTAATAGTGTTTTATATACCCGCTGATATAGATGTCTGAGTAGGCAGTTAGAAAAAAATAGGATTTCGTTATAACAATGGAGTAAAGGTTGTTGCTAATTATTTTGTTCACTCATGATCAGTAGGGTGATGTGTGTACCACATTCAGGTCACTTGGTAGTTGCCCAAACTGGACAGATCTTACAAATGTTGTTGAGTCTTACTCTTAATTTGTGCAAAGACAGTTACTCAAATAATAGAGCAACTGAACCCTTCCGTACTAAGTACAATCCAGTATGTTCCTCAACTGTAT